CTAGCAGTCTATGCCATTCTAATTTTCATTAGGTATAGGTAAAACGGTAAATAATTGCGCCGATACACTGGCACAAATTTAACTAGTCGACATGTACTTTAACTAAAGATCTATAAGAGTTATAAAGATTGGGAGTATCAGCAAATAGAAACACATCGGTATATTAAAAGTATAGCAGATTAGTCCCAACCCCAACAAATCTATATGCAAATACAATATTGCAATTTTCCCATATAATATCGAATACGAACTTACTGGCAAAAAATAAATATCATTTCGGTAGAGAAAATATCTCTGCTACAATATCAAAAGTATATCTGTATATACGAAATAATTTACTGTGTGTATAGAAATAGATAATTAACTTCAGTTTTACTTTCCTTCCTTTACTCGTATAGTAAATACCCAAACATGTGTTAGATAACCTTATGTACATACATATATGTATGTGTCTAGTGCATAGGCAAGGAGCTCGCAATACAAACGCGTCAATTATCGTAGCGTGACAGTCACATGCCGTGACAACGGCGTCACATTGCACAATTAGGTACAACTAACGTTTCAATCTCATATCCTGTATATACTAATATGATAAATGTATAAAGTTTGTGAGTTTGGATATTCGGGGTATTCTCCGGTACTACTGATCAGATTTCGATTGTTGTTGAGTTTAGTGTTGCGTTGGTTAGCCCATTAATCGAGAAAGGCTGTATAACATCACGCTACGTATAAACGGAAAAAAGTTGCACAGAAGAGGTAGAGAAATACGTATATATGTCACGAGCTAGTTAAATATTATTGCACCGTGGCCTTGATGAGCACAATAGTATACTACTCTGACTTAGAAAAAGCGAAAGTTCGGAAGCTAGAATCGGTTCGGGAATAAAAACTTTGTGTCTCAGTCTCAACATATATTTCTGACTGCCTCATAAAATTATAATTACAATTTTTTAAGTCGGTTAATTTTTTTCTGTTCAAACAAATAAAATATTTTTTTCTAATAGTATTATTTTTTATACAACGATTTTGTACAATAATACATAGAAATAGAATAATAATAATTTAAATATACTTACTTATTATTCGCACACCTTACTGACTAAACAGTGTACCTATAGTTATCAACTTTCGATCTGGTCTGAGATTACCTTTATCGTATATCATTCAAACATTTAAGGCAAAGCAACGTTCCATGCTGAGGACATAAATCGCTTGTATAGTCCCCATATAAAGAAATATCTTGCTTACTTCAGTCTAATTACGTTTCGCAAGTGTAGTAAACATGTAAAACGGTATGTATTCACTACTATTTACATCAACATTGCTTCTTTAACATTATATAAGTAATACAACATAGACTGCAAATTATACGCATACATAAATTAAATTAATGTACAGAATTAATAACTGAACCATTAGTTATCATTAATTAGATTCACTGTTTATTAGTATCATCTTTGGCTTAACCACACATCGTGTGCGCCCGCGCCGCGCCGCGCCGTCGAGAAAATATTCGCAGTACGGATGTATCTTATTTCAATCTCTTTATGTTCTACTTCAGAAACTCCATTATATAGGTACGTACATTAAACAAACAGTGCTCATCGATATTAGATAAATATAAACGACGTGAAGTGACGTGTTTATAAGACGTGTGCTCTACATTTTCTCTTGGATATTCACTTTAGCTCCTATTTATCTCATTTACAAAGCTAGTTTCATTATATCTACTGCAAAATTGAAGCGAAATCAACCATAACCTACCATACGAAATGAATTATGAGTCAGTACAGTACGCACAAAATATACCTACCAGTAGTATAGTTTTATGGCATGTCGCATAGTAATATTTTGAAGATCTACGCGAGTCGTACTGGGAAATAAAGATAAGTGAAACACAGAATGCCCGAGAATGTAAATAAGTACACATATGTACCTACATACATATATCGTAACATAGTATCACCTCGGTTTCAAGACAAGGGAAATCCGCATAGCGTGACCGTGGTATGAATTGTGTATAAACGATTTTCTTCCAAAAAAATATCCGCCTTTTATAATTACAAAAGTCTTGTACTACAACTAACAAATTTATTACAAAGTGGATTCAGAATTGGAAGTAATAACGCGTAGTACTCACACAAATAAAATACACTTGAATCGAACCAGCGTCAATCTAAAATCGGCAGATATTATTTTTGGGAAATCGGTACGATTTAGTGCACCGGTCACTGAGATCCGCTGGCGGATGGAATAAAGAAGTCAGGTCTGTTAGCCCATCATCATATTATTTATTTAATGCACAAATACATAAATAAAGATGCACATGGCGGACCATTGGGCAAACAGAGATTCATATAGGCGGTGCAATAACAAAATTTGAAATACAAATCTAAAAAAAAATATTGATACACATAAAATATACAAAAAATATTTTTAAATACAATTTGGATCATTAATTGTGGTACCGAGTAAGTCTTTATGTTAGACATTTAATTACTGTGATCCCTATTTTCTTCACTTGAATGTATAATGTTCGGTGATAAGTAATTTTTGCTAAATGAGAATGTAAAAACTTGTAGGTAATGTAAGCGTAATTATTTAGTAGTTGTTTATTTTATAGATATGTTATGTTATAATAAGAACCTTTGTTATCAAATATTAAATAAATGAATGATCTTCATCACGCTATTTTTAAAAGATCAACATGACTTCAAGTACTTATCAATATGTGTCTATAAATAACATATGTATTGTTATTGTTTACGCAACAAGTGATATGTTATTATTTTTGCATAATATATATATATTTTAACCTAATTCCCAATTTCCCCAAGATCTAAAAACTGATTTTTTTTTATTAGATTAGATATAATGTTTAGGACTGAACATAAAATACTTTTAATATTTTACAAAAACCAAAAACTGTTATAAAAACATAATTCTATACATATTCTATATTGTCATGCAAGCTTGTTATACAAAATTATTGTGCATAAACCTTTCGACCCTTTCATATAAAACCGGTGAAATAATAATAATAAAAAAACAAAATTTAAAAACACACCTATACTTATTCACACATAGAGCCACACGTCAAAGCTAGACATTACTTGTAAAGAGTGCCTTTGGCATAACTTTTCCAACAATAACATAGTGATACTATTTGATTATGTTATCCGTGCTATTGGATAGGAGTTACGTTTAAATAACAACTAGAAATAGGATCTGATAGGAACCGACCCCAAGACCCCATCCTCGAGAAACCTATGTACATATATGCATTAACTGCGGTTTTTAATAACAATATTACCGACATTAACAATACATTGTAGTAATCTATACATATATATATAAAGTTGGAGTGTCTGATTGTAATAACATTTTTTACAATTTTTGTCTGTCTGTTTGTTCTGGCTAATCTCTGAATTGGCTGGACCGATACGGAGTAACTTACATAGGCTACTTTTATTTTAGAAAAATAAAGTTAAATTCCACGCGGACGAAGTCGCGGGTACAGCTAGTATCACATATAACTATACATCACTGAGAAAGTAATTACAACGTTTGTTTACATTAATAGATATGAGACTTATTTCTCGTGTTGAGATGACTGCTTATTTTCTTCTGTAAGACTAGCCCTTATTAGGTAATCTATGTAGGTAAGTATTACCGCAAAAGTAATTATAATGGAAAACAATATTGTTATTATTTAAGACCATAAATTAATTTGTCAGTAGATAGAGACGTAACTGGTTCAGGTTTGATAAAAGAAAAATATTAATAATAATAAACGGTAATATATTTTTTCATTATTACTTTTATGTTAATACTTAGATTACTATAATAAGGGTAATGACTGTGTTCTAAATTCAATTAATCTAAAATTATTAGATAACATTTTACTTATAACGTGAATTGGAATGTTAAAATTAGACTCAAATTCACTATATTTAAAAAAAAAAGTTTCAAATACAGTTCTATTGAATCCGTTTTTAAGTAAAAACTATAAAATATCGCTAACTTACTCGTGAAATTTATAACAGACCAGGATATAGTAAAACCAGGCGAATATAAATGATGATTAAATTATTGATATATAAAGGAAGTCAGTTCAATAAATTAATCATCTGAGGTCAAATTAATCATTTATATATGATGATAGAGAAAATTTATGACTTAATACTTTTTCAGTCTATCTTTAGATATCAGTAGAAATGTCAATAAAATAGACATTCCTATTTATTATGCATTTAAAAAAAAATTAGGAATCTGCACGCGATATATAAATTACTACCCGGTATCTATATAATTAAATACACACAGGTTTAATTGTTACATTACAATTAAACTATGATACCCACATAAACTAATAAGAAAGATCAGGTAAGTGTTCATGAAACCGAATAATCTTCACCAAGAAACACATAAGTCACTGAATATTATTTATCATCCTTTCATACCTAATGATCATATTGTTGCGCAGTTTGTATCAAAATTTTTAATGTGAGAAAACTAATGAAATCACCAAACGGTATACATATGAAAGTCGCTGAAAATCAAGCAGATCAATGGACAGACTGACTGGTAACAGACTTGATTTACAAGGAATTCATAAGCTTATGATATTGGTACTGTACTAAGTGTTTCTGCCCGAGTGACAGTAATGGTGTTATTAATCTAAGTATAGGAAGCAGTACTTAAATGTAATTACCATGACTAGAATTCCACATGCATCGATTATCTACCGAGGGCCGTCTGCCTTATCTGATTGGGCATAAACTTTTACGGGTTTAAACTGTTTTTTACTATATATGGTGCACATGCATCACTGATAGTATGGATGTATCCATACTAATATTCTAATTTCCAAATTGTGTCCGTCTGTCAGTTTGCCTTATCGTAGCTAAACAGCTGACCGAATTTTAATATTTTATATAAAAAAGCATACAAACTCGCAGGTCATCGCTAGTTATATAAAAATATTTCTTGTCACTTACCCGCAAATCCATTTCATCGTTAACACACATCCACAGTTGGCATCACAATTAATGAAAACTATATTTTTTATAAAACCGTGTCGTACAGCTGTAAGTATATACACGGAGATGACTGTTTACTTGCTCAGTGCGCTAGAGTCGAGAGTGTGTCGCGATAGGATGCCTCTAACTGATGCGCGCGCAGTACTCGTCCTAGGCCAAAGAAAGCGACCTCACCTCCCGCTAGCACGCTGCTTCCCCACAGAATATATATGTATATATAACATATAATATATTAGTTGACTCATATATTATATGTTACTTGCGACTTCTGCATATATTCAGACAATTGATAAGTCTATATCTCCATCCACATGATACAATCTATCTATCTATTTATCTTTATACAATCTATCTTTAAGTCAAATTTAATTAAGATCTCTTTTTCTGTCATGAAAAGGTTACAAGCAGACAGATCTTTTCGTATCTTTACTATAGACAAATATAATTCCACATCTTTACGTTTTTTATCCGTAACGAAGTAGAGGCATTGTGGTTGTGGTTGCAGAACTTGTATGTCCACATTGTATCAAGAATAATTAAAACCAGACGAAAGCGAACCTACCACAGTTTCTCGGTTTAATCGAGTTAGTAAGAATAGATTGACATAATTTTTATAACAGTCGAATTCGATTTCATGAACCCTAAGCTCTAAAAAGCAATATAAACTACCTACTAGTACACGACGTTCTTGTACGGGTCGCCATTTTAATATATTTATGATTATAAAACAAGTGTCGGGGTCCAGTCTCATCTAGCGCTTTACTTTTCTGACTGCAATACTGTTTCGCTGTTTCACTTTATGCCCCATGAGTGGACAATATACCAGTGAAGACTTCAGAGTATACCTTATTTCAAGCGCCCATGGTCGTTCATAACTGCCTCTCATCAGGGAAATGTTTGATTCCGACCCCTGTTGTTTACATAAACATGAACTCTACAAACGTCATTTGAGAATCAAATCTGGGACCTCATTGATACTGAGGTCCATTTTAATCAAAACAGTTTAGAGGACATATAGGTCTTCTCATATACCTATTATCTCTCGGTTCATGTTCACGTAGATATTTAGGTCAATCCTTGTACGTATATATAATAATGTTTTGATAAAAAATACAAATAGAATAGTAAATAACAATGAATTATCTAAATTAAATATCTTTCTCCTTTATTCTAGTCATTAAAAATGTAATGAATAATGATATAATAATAATAACATTCCTGCACAATTCACACAGCGCCATCTAGTCCCAAGTTAAGCAAAGCTTGTGTTATGGATACTAGACTGATACAAATACATGGTTTTTTTTTGTAAATGCAGAAATAATATACATATATAGAAAACACCCAGACCGTGTTTGTATCGGTCTGGGTGTTTACATACTCGTAAATACAAATGTTTGTGCCGTGCGAGGAATTGAACCCGCGACCATCGGAAACGGTGTGCTAAACCGTTAGAGCACTGAGGGCGTCGAAGCACGAACTTCAGTTTCGATAACAGTGGTTAGCCTTATAAATTTTAAGTATTTTAATGTACTATTTTTTAGAAAAGGACATAGTAACAAGTTTTTGATAAATAAATGGTCACGGAGCATAATTAACTGTGTCAGCTACTTCAATAGAACGCCTGACAGCTGATATTCGTATGTACACTCTCTTCTGTTATCATTCAGGGGTTAACGATTTTCGCATGGAAAATTACCAACATGATTACGTCGTGACAAATATAACAATTAATCTAGACTATAGTTATACAACACAATAACCCACATAAATCTGCTCTAAAAATATAACCGATTTTTTAAATGGAACGGTGCACCCGCTGTCCACCGCGATGGCTGGGCGGCCCGTGCCTGGGACAGCAGTGAAGGACCAAGTAGATGACCATGGAGTCAGGTTAATTCACCCATCGTAAGAATATTCACCAGTAATTAACTGTGACGGCTTCTAGGTGGTCTTCTGATAATGATTAATGTATTATGCGATTATATACTAAGAAACCACTTCAATAAAATATGACCGATTGTTCTTGATTGAATTCGCAAAACGGATTGAACCTGAGACCTGCGGTCAACCGCATACTATTGAGCTCACTCCATCATGTTTATCTCCCCCCTCCCCTCTTGTACACTCGATATCTGCGATGAATCTAATGTTTATAATTGCCTAGTATTGTTTGAGAATACTTTGTAAATTGTGAATAGATTGTTAGCCGACTTCAAAAAGATGTAGATTTTATAGAAAGTAGTATGTATGGATATATACCTCTGTCTATACTTATTTTTACCGCCACGGATCTTGCTTTGCTATCTTTGTGAGAAAAGGCAGTCAAATTACGCAATAAGAGGCACAATGCCTTAGTCCTCCGGAATGGTAACTCATAAGTGGTAGGTATAACAGGTTTCACATGATAACGCGATGTCGTAGTGCCATTGATGTACCTATATATATATCCTACGGTTACCATTTACCATCAGGCTGGCCATTATTTTGTTTGCCATTCTTCATAAAAAAGATGGATGAATGGAGATTTTTGACATAATGGCATAGTAAAATGATAAATTCGGTCAATCTAATCGATGATATCATGTCCAACAATTATTGTCAATTTCTTGTACCTAGATGATAATCAAACATTTTGCATGAGTAAATGTTAGATTAAGAATATGAGTAAATAGGGAAAAATAATATTGGTTTCTACCATGTAGTCACGTACACATTGTAGATTCTTATGAAAAAATATAAAGTTATAATTGTGACAATATTCTCAAAGAGAAAAAACAATATCAGTCATCATCATCAGCCCACTGCAGTCCACTGGTGGACATAGGCCTCTCCCAAGGCACGATCTTCAGCCCTTCTCATCCAGTTACTACCCGCAACCCTACGTATGTCGCCGCTCCACCTTTCTGCGGGGTATCCTACACTACGTTTGCCAATTCGCGGTCTCCACTCTAGAACATGAAAAAACAATATACTCTAAATTATCTGAGGGGTGTACCCCTTAGTTTGCTATTCGTGCTACCGAGTTCGCCTATTCTAAAAGTGGTTGGCCTATTCTAGAAGTTCCATGTGTACAAAAGAGAAAAAACTTGGGGAAATTCGACAGATTTCGCCATTTCGGTTTCAACGCATGCAAAAATGTAAGTAGGTATTAATATTCAGTAGATACTTTTTTGTACATCGCTATGAACAGTATTATTATAATTTCTTTAATTTATGCGATTTTTTTCATTCTCATATTTTCACTGTACCTATATCTATCCAATAAAAAAAATAAAAATTAGCTAACTACTGCATAAAATGCTAGCGCGGTCGTTTATTTGAATGGTGTATTTGGATGCATAGTCATGACACACTTATAATATTCTGAATTGGTATTCAAAATATATTGTTAGTACATATAATATTCTGAATTCGTATTCAAATTATATTGTTGGTACAAACTCTTATTAATAAAACGAAATCCAACAAAGACCAACAATAGAAATTGCCTTATTTATTGACATTAGAATCTGAACGAGACTACTATCACTCATTGTTGAATTTGTTGGAATAACAAGTGTAATAATAAATCTACTTAACCCTCTATATACAATAGGCGTCGTGGCTGTCTGCAGTACCTACCAGTATTGCCAACGAAGTTTGGGCAAGCACACTAGGCAGAACACCAAAAGTCGCTTAATAACACGAAATTTTAATCGTATGTTAATAATAATAAAGCTATAAAGCCGCTAAATTATTGTATAATTTGAATAAAAAGACAATCCTATGGTTAGAGCAGTTTCATAATAATATTGCTAAAATAATTAGGCTATACTTTAACTTTTTTAAATAGAAATACAAACCCTAATTTTTATCTGGAATCATAATAATGTTCTTAGTACATAATGGAAAATATATAACAATTTGTTTATCGGTTCAGTATTTGTCCACTATAGTCCACCAACTCCTAGAAACATTTTTTACCCACCACAGGAGGGGGTTAAATCCACCAGATATGGTGGTGAAATAACTAAGGTGGCCACATTGGTTCCTATATAATTTATCTCATGTGGATACATTGTAGGTAGATACTATTTATTCTACGCACACTTCATCGTATCATGACCTCTCACAATGTCTAACTATTGTCCAACAAACAATATTACATTACTATTACTTATCTATGTTAACACCTTCATATCTGTATGTATAGGTCTCAGGCTACTAAATCGTTAATGTCTTTTGAAGTAATATTTTAATGTGAATAAATGTGGCAGTATGGAATTAAATACGCTACTACAGGTTGCATTTCGTGTAATTAAGACAGTAACTGATTCAATACCGGACCGACATTGACGTCTTTATTAACTGGAAACATCTTATCCGTTTTGGTTCCACATTTTTGTTACAATTACAAATAATTACACAGAATATTCATGAATACTTGTCATTTTGCTGTTACTTATACGATATTTTTATCTATATTTATGAATATATAAATAATTACCTTGTGGCGTATTGGGCAACACAAACCCATTACCAACAAGAGAGAAAAAAAATAAAAATTACCAGATCGATTGGTATTCTCACATTAGAGTAACATTTCGAGTTTTTGTAACTTATAGCTATTTTTTTGTTATTAATGACGATGGAACCAGACCTGCACTAATATATGATAAACCTACCTGCACTGTGATATACTCTGGTGTTGGCATTATGTTAGGAATTAGAAAATAATTAATCTATGCTAAGTTAATACATTGTATGTGGTACATATTTGTATTTAATTGTTGTACTTATTAATCTGTGCTTCTTTACACGTACTTTTGTGTACTTTATGAGTAAGAGGGAGAGACTGTCTCTCCCGTGTACCCATCTCTGTAGATAAAGATATCCCGCTATAATATTTAATTACATAGGTGTATAGTATTTCATAATTCGTATTTTTATTCCGGATAATTCGAATTCCGAAAGGCTATTTATTATACATAATTTATCCTAAATAGCCTTTCCGAAATATCTGATTATCTCTATGAAAGAATATTATTACTATTCTTATCGTTATGAAGGAATAAAGTAATTAACTGCGATGGGAGGCAGGACTTGCATATTGCTAGCGATGCAATAGTAATCCTCATTACTAACAGCTCCCACCCTTATTGAAACTCCTATACTTATAGAATCAATTTCAATTTACAAAGAACCGAAGTAATAATTAGTTGTACTAATGTTTCAAGATAATATGTGCGGGGATATTCCATTCGTAATAATTATAAATAACTTGATATTATATGATCATTGAATTATCGTGTGTCAATGTCAATAGACCAACATGATTATACGAATCAGATAAAAGATAAAAACAATTTTACATAGTAATAATAGTTTATTTACTATGTTTACTGTCTCGTATATGGAGTCTGTATTGATTAAAACAAATAAATAATGATTAGTTCAAAATTCCCGGTACCTTTAGGAACAGACTAGTATATTAGTAGATAGCTGTTAATATTTTAAAGAGAGTATTTAAAATATATATTTCGCTACTTAAAAATTAAATAACCGTATACTGTGGACTATAAATTTGTCCATAAAGGACAAAATCAAAAATTAATGTTGCTGTCGTATCATTAATTTACCGGGGTACCAATACAGAATTTACCAGAAATTCATTTTATTTATATTTTTAATTTGTTAATTAATGTAAAAGTTTCTGAGAATAACTGTAATTGTTGTCAATATTTTTTTTTTTTGTTAATTAAATAGGGATTCAAGGGCTCACGTGCAAGAAGGAAATTGATTATCATTGTAGGTACATTGCTATGCAATATACAATCTATAGCAGTGGAGTCACTAATCCTCATTACTAACGATCTTCACAGAATTACACATTTGTGATCCTATGACATAAATGTGTAATTCTGTGAAGATCGTCAGTGTCAATGTCTGTCGATATTGACAAACTTGAGACCTATAAATTATTACACATTTATAGGTCTCAAGTTTGTCAATCAACCTCAAGACCTATATCACTTGAATCTTTTGTGAATCATCTAACCTAAATAATCAGTATGATTGGACGATACTATGCTACTTGATAACAATACAAAAGTAACATAACATCAGTAAACTTTTTAAATTTATATTGTCCATTTTCTTTATTATTTAAATCCGTAATTAGGAAAAAGGACATTATAATTTATTGGATTTAAATACCAACAAACTAAAAAATATTGATTACAGGTAGTACTTTATTTAGTACTGGGCAAAATTATATTAAGAATTATACGTACAAGACCATGGTAAAAGCACAGAAGCATAATCTCTCTTTGAGATGTACCCAAACGATACTACGAATAGTGTCAATATTACATCTATAGATATAGTATATCTACAATTGGGTAATATTCAGTAATAGCGTAATTCCACACGCAAAGTATATGCGTTAATATAAATATTATAGAAAAGTATACTTCTTTTATCTCGCTTGATGTACAAAATTAGCCAGGAATAACAACACATTAATTCCCGACTGTAAAACGTTGCCAGATATCTACGTACGACATGAATTTGAGTCGATTTTATAGAATAACATATCCAATTATTCAGCATTCAATTCTTTTTTGTATCATTAGAATAGCAAACAAGGTGACGCATAACGACCCACCTAATGTTAAGTGTCACCTATAAACATGAACAACACTACAAATATCATGTTATCATGTGACACCTGTTATACCACTCATACATTGCCATTCTGGCGGATAAAGATGCTATGCCTCTTGTCCTGTAATTTTAGTCCTATATCATCTTTCGTATTAAATACAGCATACAAAGCAAGCTGCTAGGCGGCTAAAACAGACGAAACAGAGGATAATGAATAATTATGAAAAGGTCCTTCTACCAGCGCTAACAACATCTTAAAGAACATTCTTATTGCACCATGATTTGATAATTTGATAACAAACTCGGAGATCTATAATTTCTCGAATTTACCCACCCTACGAGAGTTGCTAGCACAAGCTCAAAATACAAGTCTCGGCTGAATGTCCGCCCTAATGAGCTAGCCCAGTTTACTCAGGCCAGCCCAGGTTACTCATTAACAAACACACAAAACGCCTGAAAGGGATACAAATACTGGAGTTAGATAAAGTTTACTCCAGTTCTTGATTTCTTAACATAACGCTGAAGATATCATTGAAATAAAAGGTCGTGACAGTGAATTTAGGGTTGTGTATTTTTCTATTAACGTTAACGCGAGTGCATCATCAGGATTCGTACGTTTATTTATATACACCAGCATGAAAATTATCATACAGTTTTCTTTTCTCTCTGCTTAATTTTTTCCCATTTCTTGAGATGACGTAACATAGATACATAAACACAAGACTAAAAATAGGTGATTTGTATTCCATGACTATATCATATTAATTGAAAAATATATTAGCAACTGTCTTATAAAATAGATTGTGTATTAGGATCACATGCAATTAGTAAGATAATATAAGTTGTTACATTAGGTGGTATAGATATACGCTCTATAATACGATAATTGTGAGCAAAAATGGCAAGAAAATAATGATAGAATTGAAAACAAAAACGTAAATAACTGAAAGTATGATGTTATTGAAAAAAAAACAATTCGGTCATAACATTTTTTACCTGATGATATTGTGTGCAGTCGCTCTAATCTGGTCAGTGTCTGTGCATAGGGATGAAGTAACTCTGAAATGAAAATTTAAATTAAATTCGTGTTTCAAATGGTGAAACGGTAAAAAAAAACTATTTTTCCTGCAATAATAACATGTGCTTCCAACTGTATTTTCCAATTTATGAAGTGTCACGAGCGCGTTCTCTTAAGAACGTTTAATATACCCTTCTTGAAAAACCCCATGCTGTTGTCTCATGAATACAACCTCGGCAGGTAGTTCATTCCACATATAAGGTAATAAGGACGAGTACGTTATAGGTACGGTTTTTTTTTATTGATTATATTTTTGTAACTCTTTTAGCGTCTGCGTTTGCGCTTTCGGGTTACGTTCCCAGAGTATGTTAAATGTTTTGGAAGTCTTTAATTTGTTTAGATTATATATACATTTGTTAATACTAATAGTTATGTTATTATTTGTAGTTTAGATGTTTATTATACATATGTATGTTATTATATAAATAGTTTGAATGTTATTTGTATTCGTGTGTTATTTTTAGATTTGTACATGTTAATATTTACAAGACGAGTGATTGTATTTGCAATGTTCTTACTTTTAGGAGATGAATTATTTACACTGATGAAATATTGGCCATTCTTTGTATGTATCCTTTCCTTTTTTTTTATTTTCTTTTTTCTAAGATATTTCTTTTGGGTGATTATGAAGTATTCGTGATTGTCGCTATGTATCCTTTTTTTCCCAGTTCTTTTTTTACATTTTTGAGTGATTTCCGTGTTTATATTTTTGTACATGATATTTTTTTACATTATATTTTTTTTCCTCTTTTCCCCTTTTCCTAGATACAGTTATTTAGACGTTCGTTGTAGCTATTTATTATACGGGTGACGAAGAACTAATATTTGTGAAATAATTTTGTCGCTCAAGTATCAATTAATGGGATGAGCTATAGAAGAAAGTTAGTTTCAATTAAAAATAACAGCACCTTTTCATAATTTTATAATAATGTATTTCAAATATCAAATATATATAATCAGAAAGTTCTGAACGATAGCACTTTGACGCACAGATGGAAAGTAGATTTATGTTTTTTTTTGCTTATAGCGAGTATACCTACCTAATTAAAATTTTAGAGAATTCAGCTCCAATATAGGTAAAGGTTTATTAAAATTATTCTGCTGATATTGCAAGATTACTTTTTCAACTATTTGTTATATAGAATATACAAACTTATCTATTCTCAGAAAGTACCTACTTATTTAGGTATTAAACGTAAGTATCTATTATTACGGCTAAAAACTTAATAATAGGCTTATACAGCGTGTTTCAAAAAAGAAATAAACGCAGTTTTTTATAGTACAGACCTGAAAATAATGAAGCAAAGCCAAGTTTTTCAAAATCCCACTGATTATTTTAAAATCACATCACTAACATCTTTAGATAATAACGTCTATCAATTGTGACTGTTGCGTGTAAGAAATCGAAAATGTGTATGTTTACAAATTTTGTCTCTTTATTTTCATGCACGGCGCGCGACGTTGGCCGTAGACTGACGGTAAGGACGTAGGAAGGTCAGCGGCCATCACTGCGCATGCGTCGAGAAGCCCACCGTTGCAATGCTAACCTTCTGACCACTACGATCTAGCAAACTTTTTAATACCTCTACACTTTTGTTGATAAAAAAAATTACAATGCACGTAAGTACATTGTAATCTCAACTACTTCGGCCACCAAGCAGCTTGTAAGATGTGTTAGAAGATGACATGGTAGTGAAATTACAGAGTAGAAAGCTTAAAACCATAATCATCCGAAATATCATCATATACCAGGTAGTACTTACCAGATAGGTACCAGGTGCGTCACAAGTTGTCGTAAGATTTGGGGTGTTTATGGATAATAATGGAATGATGCACCCTCCTGCGCTAACGTTTTCCGCTAGCAGGGCACCAGTGGAGGATAATAAAATGAGCCCGAAGTCAGGTCAGTTAAGTCAGGGTTTCCAAGTGGAATCGCGTAGAGGTTAACCAGACATTGTACATTGCTAGCAATTGGTTCATACTAAAAATCGACTTCCCCCACATTCGGAGTGTTTCTCATGTTATGGAGGTGATTACCACTTACTAGCAGGTTGGCCAGTTTGTTTGTCACTGCAATCACTTAAAAACATTAAAAGCGATCAGCAATAGGATTAAAATTAACAAGCGGTACTTTGTCATACATAGAAAGACACAAACCTTTCAGCATTTATTTGACGGTCGCAACCACAAGGTTGAGACTTGCTAATAACTGCTGAGGGCAGGTATGCCTTACTTAGCCATACCTGCCCTCAGCAGCTACGTATTTTATTAGACATTGAATAGGCATTTATAAAAATAACTTCTGTCGTCAAACTCGAATCACGTCTGCAGGCAAGGTTCAGATGGCGAAATTATAAACATATTCATAGAATAATTGATTTGTCCTAACACAATAACAATTATATTATTATTATTTTGAAGTAAATGAAAATAATCAATTATAAATATATTTCTGAAAACTAGAGTATACCTTATGTAAGACTAATATCTACTAATCCTTCATGTCATTGAAAATTTCAAAGAGTTCTATATTTATATTTTAATGATAAAACGATTGTCTGTAAATAGATATAATTAAATACATTATTAATTCATTTTAATGTTTATAACAACTAGGAAGGTTTTTAAAAATCTATGTGTACAAATCTCTACGATTTTAAGTGATTATTTAATAAAAAAAACTCAAGGCATTCAAATTTTAAATATTAGAAGTCGGAATTTTTTACCAAAATTCTAAATAGTATAATTATCATTTTTACTAGTATATATTGAAACAATAATAGTTTTATCCTATTTATCGTAAGCTACTGTGCTCCTAAGTAAAGAGATCAAATATAGGGACGTAAAGATTAATTATAATTGACTTAAATATTATTATTTATGTGACTAGATATAATATTGCATAAATAATAAGCAAATTTATCACAGCATTGTTTAAGACAATTTTAAATTAATTAATAAATTATAAAGTCTCTTCCGGATTTCTTTAGTGGCAGGTGCTCGAGACATGCCTGATTCACCTGCAGGATTAGCACAAAGCTCTAGCAATTCAATAAGAACCCTAGGTGTTCTAGGACCCAACAGCAATCCTGGCACCATCACCCTACCAGACATTACCCAACCTAGGAAAATTCTTTCACAAACAATCTGCAAATTGTTGTTAACAACCCCATACTCACATTTATAGGTTATTAAGTTACAAAATGATCTACAATCTAAAAAATCACAGTCGCTATGTTGTTTACATTCTGATCCATCACCAGTCATTTTATCAACTATCGTACGTGGGTGAACCGAATCTAAATCTAAATACATAATCTTCTTGGTGTCACTGGTCACACCAAAATGATTCATTTTTACATCACAAATATGCAAGGGCTCCGGTAACTTCTTTTCTAGTGACAATAAATAATCTAATATCATCAAAGACAACTTTATCCTTTTCTCCCACTCTTCTTGACTATCATACAAAGTCATTAAATGCCAATAACCTGATATGGAGTCCAATTTCTGAACTGCATACATTGATCCACAGGACCCTAATAGTTTTGGAAAGATGACATACTTTTCATACAATAATAAAGCAAGGTATTCATTATCCTGTAAAAGTAGCCAAACATTATCCATCTCAACATTTCTCTCAATCCCTCCCACCTGGTTCGGAATATAAGACATCCTCCAAGCATCTACATCATTAATTGATATATTAAACTTATTTTTTATATTTTTTTGAATCAGTTTTGAGAACTCTTCTTCTGATGGATAATTTTTTTGGTTGACAGTAGACAATTGCATCAATTCTTTTGTATCAGGGGATTTTTTCAAGGCTTTGAAAACTACACTCTTGTTCATCCATGTTCCAGAGAAAACAGCTTCTTTTTCCATGTAGAAACTGTGACATGATAATGAAGGCACTCCATCCGTATGGCATAAACTCTGACATAAATTACCAACAGATACTCCTTTTGCGTAGTTGGAACACTGAAATGAGAAATTATATCTAAATACCTATAAAACAATGTTCCCACCCAATGTGACTTACTTATTCTAAAGCAAGTAAATAGTGACAATCATTTTAGTACATAGTAGGTGTAACTGTCATTTAGAAATGTTTCAATGAAAATTTATACTATATTTTAGTCTATGGTAACAATTATTCTGACTTCATCTGGAGAGTACATTAAATTCCTACACATATAAAATGCATTTCGGTAAAGCTGGAATGAGCCTATAGAAAAAAACAAATTATATTTTAACAATAAAATAATTACACTTTAATTATGTAACATTTAGATATTAATTATATAATATAAAGTTATGCATATATATCTAATTACCTACATTTTACTCACCTGCAAAATATGGAGTACAACTACTCAAGCATTACCATATATCATAGAATTATTACATTATGATATGTGATTTTGAAATATATTAATATTTTACTCACTATGTGCTGGAGGTGTAAACGAGGATGCACATTTGTGCAGGTAATTCTCCATTTTATTATAATTATAAATACACATATTATACATATGAAAGAAAACACTCTACGCTTCACAGATTTGAATACATGTGCAAATGTCCACATGCATAAATGTTGAATTCTCATTATCCAAAATTTCCTCCGTCTAAGTCTTAATACTAATTGACGAAACCTGAAAACATAAACATTTATAATTATATTCTTTTGAAAGATTTTTGAAAATAAAAGGCAAGCTCATCTGACTTAACTTTTGTAGAACTTGGTTGATATTTCTTATTGAATAGTTAAGTGTAATAAGTAATTAATTTCAACTTTATGAAATGTGCAAATTATGAAAATCATACCATTCTAGCTAATTTCTAGGAGAATGTATTGGAGTAATTTGAATAATATATTTCATTATCCATAAAATATGTAGACAAAATCGCTTTTCCTGCGCCCAGACGTTGTTTTTTTTTAATAATTTGTAATTTCACACAACTTTATAAGACAATTATTGGCTATTTGTTTTATTTTTTATATGCAAAATATAAGTTATGGTTTTAAAATTCGTCTAATTCCGACAGTCAATATATGTTTTTTTTTTTTTTTTTCTCTTCTTTGGCAAGAGGCTAGTGTTGCCTATTATGCCACTAAAAACAGGAAACGAGACGGGATAATGGAAAGGAACGGGTTAAATTTTGAATATACTCGGAATTAGTGATCATGGGTTTTAAAGTTTAATGTTATTATGGGAAATAAAAGACGCAAGAGATTTATAAATTATAGGATTAGGATGAGCTAATAGGCATACAATGGATGAAGGAAAAGGAATTTCTAATGAGATAAGTGTCTCTATAAATGAAGAACGATCGTAAGAGGAGCAGGAAAACACAATATGATTTAGATCACCCACATCTTCTCCACATTCACAGATATTATTGTCTTTTATACGTAGTTTTGTTAAATGTTCAGGGCTGCAAACATGACCAATTCGCATACGAATCAAAACACTAGTTGATCTTTTATCAAGATGTAATTTGAAAAACCACGGTTTAAGAGCTATAAACGGTTGGACTAAACAGTACTGTTTCCCTTTAATTTTGCTACTTATTGTCCAATCTTGACTCCATGAATCATGAAGACAAGACTTAGACAAGGCAGTCAGATCATGGCAAAAGTTTTTATAAGGAAATAGATCTCCAGATAATATAGCTTCATTCGCAAGCAAATCTGCTTTTTCGTTGCCCCGAATGCCACAGTGACCCGGAATCCAAACAAAAGATACAATATGTCCTTTGAGACGAATGCTATTCAACATATCTCGGATATCAAAAATTAGAGGATACTGTTTAGATGATTTGAATGGACATTTAATTAGAGCTTGAAGAGCACTTTTAGAGTCCGTAAATATAACAGTTTGCTTAAGATTAAAAATTTTAATATATTCTACTGCTTTAAAAATTCCATAGCATTCACCAGTAAAAACAGAGGTCTCTGGTGGAAATTTAATTTTCTGAATTATATGATATTGTGAGTGGTAAATTCCTACACCAACATTTCCTGTATGTGAGTGTTTCGATGCGTCACAATAAATTTGATGATGGCTTTCCCATTTAGAGTTTACTACTTGATTAAACATTGCATTTACATTAGGATGTTCTTTTTCTATGTTAATATCAAAATGAACATCAGGGGTAAAAGTTAAAGATTCATATGCTGAACTAAATAATGGAAGACAGGGAGATCGATGAGTGGGAGCTCGGATGGCAGTAAAAGTTCTGTAACTTTTTACTAAGCAAGGTAGAGATTTATGAGACCAATAGGATGACGAAGAAACAAGATCAGAGAGCGATTGCAATTTAGGGATCAGAGGATGATTAGAAAACTGTAAAATACGAAATAAAAATTTATCAGATAAATACTGACGCCTTAAATACAATGGAGGATCACAACATTCTACTTGCATCGCATTAATGGGACTAGATTTCATGGCGCCCAATATAATCCTTAGAGCTTTAGCTTGAATATTATCCAATTTTTTTAGGGCTGTAGCATTAGCAGGTTCCAAAATAAATGTACCATAATCCATAACACTCCTTATGAGAGCATTATATATTAGTTTTAATTGAAATGGATGGGATCCCCACCACACACCCGTAAGGCATCTTAGAATATTAAGAAGTCGTTCACATTTAGCTGAAACGTATTCACAATGTGGTAAACCAGATAATTTAGAATCGAGAATTATGCCTAAAAATTTTATTTTTGTCTTTACTGGGATACACTGATTATTGTAACAGATATTTATAGGGGGTGGAACTCGCATTCTAGAAAACAGAACAACTGCACTCTTAGCCGCAGACAATTCAAGACCGTTACAATCCATCCAAAATTTTAATTTTTCTAAAGAAGTGGAAATTAAAGAACACGCTTTTTGAACAGAATGATCAATAAAATACATCAATAAATCATCCGCATATTGAAGTACAACGACTTTCTCACTGTTTTGATTTACATATGACTCTAAGTCGTATGTATAGATGTTATATAAAAGAGGACTGAGTGGTGATCCCTGCGGGAGACCCTTCCATACAACTCGAGACAAAATATTAGAATCAGACAATATAACGCTAATGGATCTTTCCGTCAAAATATTAATAATAAAGTTAGAAAGTATGGGAGGAACATTCAAATCGCAAAGCTTTTTCCATAATATGTTAATATTGACATTGTCATACGCAGAGTTAATATCTAAGAAAACTGAAACTACCGACTGATTTTTAGAGAATGCCAAACGTATATCTGAAACGAACAGACTGATTCCATCTAATGTACTTTTACCCCTTCTAAACCCATACTGACTTTCAGCTAATAGTTTTTTACTTTCGACATACCACTCTAAACGAGTTTTTACTAAATTTTCAGCAATTTTTAAAAGAACTGTGGAAAGAGCTATAGGACGATATGAACTACTGTCATCGGAAGGTTTGTTGGGTTTTTTAACTGGCAATACCGTGTGATGTTTCCATGACGACGGAATATTCCCAGTTAACATTACTGAATTTATGAGATTAAGGTAATACAACATACATTCATCATTAATATTCGCTAAAAATGAATATGGAATGTGGTCATTTCCTGGAGATGAATCTTTCGTATGAGACAGAACGGTTTTAAGTTCCGTAAATGTAAAAGGACTGTCAAGAGCTGAAGAGTTTATATTTTTATTGGTGGAAAGTGGCCGCGTTATGGGATCCATATGAGATACGTAGGGTGGTGCTAAACGATCTAGAAACTCGTTAGCTGTAGTCTTTGATAATGTAAAAAAAAGGAGAATCTTGGAAAGCAGATCTGTATCTTTTTATATTACGCCATACAAGGGAAGGATGAGTATGAGGCGAAATAGAAGAACAGAAACGTTTCCATCCTTCTGACTTCTTTTTCTTTAAAAGTTTCCGGGTGGAGGCTAGTAGGGCAGATAGATTGGTGAAGTTTTCTGAACTCATATCATTACAATATAATCTTTCTGCCAGTTTCCTGGATTTAATAGCTGTAGTACATTCATGGTCCCACCAAGGTGGAGAAGGAATTTTATTATTATTATGTTTGTTTACAGGAAAAACTTCATCAGCGACTTGTATCAAAATTTTGCTGAGGGCTTCAGAACAGTCCGATTCATTACCAGAAGTAATAGGAGGGAGAGATGATAATTTATTTTGTACACCAATTTGGAATTTATCCCAATTATTATTATTATTTAACTTATGTTTGTAAAAATAATTTCTTTTTCGAGGATGTTTTTTATGAATTGGTAATGAAATGATAATAGGAAAATGGTCACTCCCATATGCAGATGAAAGGATAGACCATGATAGAGAGGAAGATAAATTGGAAGAACAAATAGAGAGATCTACAGCACTATTTCTTTCAGTGGGAGCAGTAATACGAGTAGGTACTGGGTCATTTAAAACACACAGATTATGGGAATCAAGAAGGCCTAACAATTGCTCACCATGGTAATTAGAATAGGAGCTGCCCCAAGCTTGATGATGGCAATTGAAATCACCCATAATTAAAAAAGGTTTAGGAAGAATTGAAAATAACTCATTTAAATATGCAATAATTGAAGAGGAAGGACGAGGTATATAAAGGGAGACTAAACAAATATCGCTGACAACAGCAGCAACCATAGAAATATTGTTTTTGTCAAAAAGAGGTAAAGAAATAGAAGAAAAATGAGTAGCTTTATTGATGAGTAAGGCAGCCCCACCATACCCATCTGGCCTATCATCTCGAATACAAGAGTATTCTGATAATTTGAAATTATAATCAGGTTTAAGCCAAGTTTCAGTTAGTGCAATAACAAGTGGTTGTTGATATTTATTGATTAAATGAATTAAATCACTTTTTTTGCTAAGTACACTTCTGCAATTCCATTGGACTACTTGATCCATTATGGAGTAGATTTTTGAATATTTCTATAAATGGGGCAACGTGGGACGGTATTATATTAGAACTTACAAGTAAGTTGATTAATGAAATAATAACTTCTTTAATATTAGATTGACTTTCATTTTTATACTGACTGTTAAGCGCACAGCCATTAGAAGGGGAGGGCATATTAAAATCTTTTATAATATTCTCATGGGCAACTTTATCATACCCAACATAGGATGGATGAGGAGATTTAGGTTTTAAGAATACGGTTTTTTTATAAGATTGTTTAAAAGCAGTATCATTATAAGTTTTTGATTCAGATATATTTTTTAAAGTGCTGAATGATGTTCCATGTGCTGATGGCGTGGAAAGGACTTCAGCAAAAGACTTTGTAACAGCAGGGTGCAATTTTGAGGCCTCAGCATATGAAATACAATTTTCAGCCATATATAACTTTATTTGTTTTTGTCTATTGAATTCTGGACAAGATTTGCTAGTAGAAAAATGATTTCCTGAACATAAACAGCAAAAAGCATCTTCAACATCACATGTTTCTCCTGTATGATTTTGACCACATTTAAAACAACGTGGCTTTGACCTGCATTGAATTTTAGTGTGACCATAACGACAGCAATTGAAACATTGTATAGTTGGATAAGTGTATAATTCCACTGGTAATGCATTATAACACATGAATATTCTTTTTGGTAGTACCTGACCATCAAATGTGACTACTACTGTCTGAGAAGGTTTCCAAGTGGGAGAGCCATCAACAACAACTTTGTAATTTAGCCGTCTTACTTTAAGTATATTGCCACAACCGATAGGAACAGAAATATTTTGTAATATTTCATCTGGACTCCAATCACTCGGAACACCTCGTACCAGACCCATACGTGTAATATTAAATGTTGGTATAAAAGCCTGTAATTTGTAATCATTTAAACTGTTATGATTAATGAATGTATTAGCATCATGGTAAACTGAGAAAGATAATGCAATTTTATTTCGTCCAATGCGTTTTACACTTCCATTAATAATGTTTTTAAAATACTGTTTTTTGAGGAATTTACCAAATGTCACAGGGTGAAGTGTAGTACCGTCATTTGGAGACTTTTCTTGTCTTACTACATGAACTAAGTATGGGGCATGGTCTGTGGGTTCATACATTTTCCTTGCTACTGGTTCAGAAATATTATTATTTTCATTTGTTTCTTTAGATGTGGATGGATGAGGGGGATCTAAATTTACAGATTGTGGAGTGAAAATCACTTCCGTGAGAGGTTTTTGTATTTCAATGCCATCATTTATGTCATCTGTACAGTGGCAATCTGTAATTTTATCTGAAGAATTTTTTCTTCTCCGTTTATTACAACTTTTACAAAATCTTTGTAACCGACTGCGTTTTATCGATCGGTTTGAACAAGACGTATCGGTTTCCATACCCGATTCGCATGAAATTGTAACATAGTTAGAAGCCGGAGGGACAAATCCCCCCGGGTCGGGGGGATCGTCCATAGAAATGAAAAAACGAAAAACTTACCAATAAAACAGCTAACTATTTATACTAACTACAATAAACAAACTAAATAATAGATATTAAAGAACTAAATACAGTATCACAATCACTAAATAATGAAAAATATGTATAAAATTTAAATCAAAAGAAAAAACGCGCCCGCCAAGTTTAACGTTTCCCGCCTTTTTTCTCAATATATGTTAGTAGTTCGTTTGACATTAACAGTGTTGCCAATTAAATACAAACAAGTCCACTACACAGAGCGAAAAATTGTACACCGTTAGTGATTTAATACATTTAACTATTCAGTCATTAGTCTTGTATGATACAAGACTAAGAATTTTATGTTTTAGTATTTTTCATTAAATGTTGTTGTCTATAACAAAATATTAAAGCTTAAAATTCTTACATATGTTTGCTGTTTGAGAATAAACTATGTAAATGTTATTACAAATATGTGCCTACTCAATAAAATAAATATAATGTATATTTGCTTTTAACTATATTTTGACAACTAAGCATGCGATTTGTTGACATTTGAAAAGTATTGCATTATTAGTAGGTACTTTATATCTTATCAGCAGTCCAAATTTTAGTTTAAATCAACAATAAATGTAAAAACTTTAGTTAGAGATTAGATTATATACTATTTTAATAAAAATTGTACTTATTAAATAATTTACCCTTAAATGGTAAAATCTGTTTTATTCCCTAAAAAATCCCTACAATAAATGTCCTCCCCGCCGCTGCGGCGCCGCCGCACTGCCGCGCGCCGCTGCTGCCGCCGTCATTTACTACTTAGGGAATTTTCCCCAGTCTGGTATCACTACAATGACAGTTCACCAGTGTGGCTAGATGCATTTTTAAAATATAGAAAGTGTTACAAACTATAATAAACAGAAGGGAATATTGAAAAATTTTAACCATAATGTCCAAACTCTCTAGCAACTACCTAAGAGTCCTCTATTGTATCAATGTACAATTTTAATATTATAAATATAATTGAATATAGAATGGTGCACTCACACACCTAAACGGTAAGTATATTTTGGCGGGGTACCAGGTTAGTTAGCCTATCGTGCAAATTTACCAGGAATTTATTACGATGATATAATATATATAATATAGATATAATATAGGTACAATACTAAAATTGAGGCCACCAGTATTCATTAAAAACAATTCCCAGCTACAAATTAATAACACCTAGGATGCAACAGGAGTATGTTTCATCTGAGAAAGAACAAACAGATTGCAGAATATAGGATAAGGGCAATGATAAGACATTGGATAAAAGGTGTGATAATACAGTGCATACGAAATATTACTTTTGGCAATATCTACCGCTTGCAATGAAGTCATCGTGTGTCATTTCACACACCTGTATAGAATCTCTACTACTACATATTATGTATTCAATATAAAGTTGAATGTGTGCATGTACCGTGACACTGTTTCTCATGTAACACAGTATCACAATGTTTCTCTAGTTATTACAATAAACTGCGGTGGGAGCAGCCAGACTCTGTTACAATAATACTTCCGACCACACCCGAACCATATCTGTCATTGTTTTCTATCTTCTCTAAATCTCTACGTTACTTTAAAATGTTCGTATATATTATTACAAGTTTTTTTTTTAATTTGTCTTGAAATGGGGGAAAGGACTTATTAGTAATGTGAACTTATTACTCCATTGCAAGTTGACCTCCACGCGGTTACCCCTGGAAACCATCGTGATTATTTCCTGGTGATTTTGTCACGATGGGCTAACTGACCTGACCTCATGCTCATTCTATCATCCTCCACTCCATCCTCCACAGCGTAAGCCGTTAGAGCAAGCGGGAGCCCTATTCCATAAATATCCATTAAAAAAATTGTCTTGATACTAAATCTTCAGTGGTAAATAAACTTCGTACCTAAACACACACACAGGTTTTGTACAATGGATGAATATGAAACAGTGCTTCCAGGTCATAAGTGGACGATTATTGAATGAGAAGGAAGTCATGTCCGTCATCGTGAAGAATTCAACGGAAATTTAACACTATGACTTACAGCGGTGGTCGCGAGGTTGACTTTATAGGGTACATTGTTAGCAACGGGGTTACTGACAATTGCCTCTCCCTCCCTATTAGTCAGGTTTTTTTTAAAGGATGGTAATGGAATAGCTCTCCTGCTTACGCTAACGGTGTATGCTGGCACTGCATCAGTGTACAAAAATAGGATGAGCATGAATCATGTCTTTTAGCACTGCCATGGAACATTAGTGATACCGAGGTTTCATGGTCGGTCAATCTCCAACATGACCATCCCCTTACTAATCCTCTACCCTCAATTATTACACTTACTTATGTCAACCGAAATAACAATTTACATCACCAACCTATGGACTTCTAATTTGTCTGGTCCAAACAAGCAATAAGTAGGTATTTATAATTTCACCATAATATAATAAGTAATATTAGATTATTTTCTACATAAAATATTTATGTATAGAAAAGCAAATATGTTACAAGTACGTACAGTCGTACACTATTATAATCTATCTATCTACTCCTAAAAGAATTATCATTATCGGTTCAGAGTCGAAGTCGTGTGGGTAATTTTCTTTTAATCTCTTGATAGCAGACTGCAGTATTTGTAAGTGGTCAAACTTCTTCTGAAAACTTATTTAAATATGCAATGCAATGCAATTCAAAACAAGCGGACCCGGCAGACGTCTTCCTGTCCGATAAAGCAGAACAATCTACCGAGTCCAATGTCTTTTCCAAACCATTGGAATTAATACAAAATTCCATACATATCGATCCAGGCGTTCACAAGTTACAAATATACAACAGAAGAATTAATTAAATTAAAATAATTTATATACCTACTTACCTACTCTATCGTCTCCAGAATTATAGTTTAAAGTAGTTATTTGTTCCAATGAACTGAATGGCATCAGAGGACTTTATTAACGACTATATTTCAAATATTAGTCAAAGTCGAAGGAGATCGCAAACAGCATGTGCGAATCTAATACAATTGTTTAATAGTAAATTAATACCATTATTTCATAATAATGTATATCTTATCAGAGATCTATATTTATATTATTAAAAACTTGTTGCCAGATGAATTTACATAAGTTTGTATTTCAAATTGTAGATCTTACTAGAATTACTAAATTTCTTGTACAAAAAATAGAATTTGAAATTGCCAGTTGAGCAGGATTTCTATATATAATAAAAATCATGGTAACAAGCTCGTTTTGACTTTTTATTCATGTAAATTTGCAGATATAATTAATACAAATGGTCATGTAAATTGGGATCTATGATAAATAATATAGCTATCAGCTGGTCAGAGGTCACTGTTCATGCTGCCTCCCCAATATTTGTTTCCAGCCATTACTAAATTTAAATGACTCATCAAATTACAAAAAGGCAGTCTCGGAGGTGTGGCGTTACAAATACTGTCTTATTCCTAAAGTTTACATTATGAGATTTTTTTGTGATAGTGATAAAACACAAACTTAAACTATGTGAACATACTACCTGAATGGCCTACAATATTAATGCATGACTTTATTACAGTAGGTTCCTCACTCCCTAGGTGGTTTAAGTGCCGAGCTATGTCAACTAATAAATTCCTAAGAGATTAATGTGACAAAACCTATATTGTCTACATGTCATACATCACAATTTTTCCTAAAGCTATCTGTACAGTTCGGGTAATTTATGATGTCTATAATAATGTCAATTACTAGTTATAATATAAGTTCCGACCAATAAGTTGCTACAACTTGAGCAGCGGGTGTATTATATACTTCGCTACCATTTGTTACAAGTACAGGATACACATACAATGAGACTTGCCCCAATATTCACTCACAATTTGGTTCTCAATCTTGGACTGCCAACAAAAACAATCTAAATACATATTAAATTATTCACAAACAAATCATAAATAAACTTTAGATTAAATTTAAAACACTGAAATACTCGGTATGTTGAGTGAAACTAATGATTTTATGAATATATCATCCATTTCAGGCAGAGAGCATATATATATAAATAAATACATGTATGTATATGTTTAGATTATTCCTCAGATTCTTTTTCTTCAGGTTTGGCTGTTTTCAACCATGGGTGCTGAAGGCACTCATATGCAGTTGCACGGCGATTAGGATCGAAATCCAGCATTGGTTTCAAAAAATCAGCAAATTCCTCTGCATCCTGCTGGCTCCATTCATATTTTTCTGTGAGAACCGAGACTAAGCCCCAAGGTTTCAATCCTGTAATATTCCGTAGTTCACCTTTTTTATTAAAGAATACCTTTGAATATTTTCCAGAGGCTGCTATTCTTTTAGGAATGTCTCCAAGTAATTCAATAATGTGTGCTAGATGGTCCTCATCCCGACTATAGCCATCACCAGAATGAGGTTCAAACAGGTAATCTCCAGTTGCCAATTCAAAAGCCATACAAGCTGTACTCCATATATCAGCTGAGGTACCATAACCAGCACTCAACAGGACTTCTAAGGAGCGATACTGCCTTGTTTGTATATCTTCAGTAAAGTGTCGATGAACCCAGCAAGCATTGCCAAGATCAGCAATCTTTACTTCTAAATCACAAATATCAAAAGCAGGATCAGGCTTCTTGTCCATTGACTTGCCCTTTGTGGACTGAGAATTGAAAGAAGGAGGAGTGTCAGTCATCTCACCTTCAGACATAGGTGTACCTGCATCATCCCCACAGCCATATTGTTTGCTCCTTACCTGAACAGCATCAGCATCTGTATCAAAGGCCTCATCATCAGCTCTTGGCATGCCAATGCATCCATTCACAGTTATATCATTTTCCGAGCGTGTAGTCTCAATTACACTTGCCTCTTCTGGAGTTTGTGGAGAGTCATCATTATCTTGAGACATTGGAGCAGACTCACTATTGTGTTCGAGTTTCTTTTGTTCTTCCATCTCTTCAATCTGTTCCATTTGCTTCTTGAGCAACATAGATTGTCGTTTAGCTTTTTTCTTTAATTTTTTCTTTTTGTTTCTACTCATTTTTGCTGTAACTACTTGTTCTTGAAATTCCTTAGGTGCGGTACTTATTAAGGAATGAGGTAATCTCAAGCCTAGGGAATGCAGTTCAGTTGCTTCAGCTGCCAATTTACGTATATAAGCTTCATCAACACAAACCAATACATTTTCAGGCTTAATATCAGTATGAATTATTTTACATTTAGTATGAAGGTAATCCAGAGCTTCCAGCACTTGATGAATTATAGTTTTTACATTTTCTCGTGGTATGCCTCTATAATTAGACTTGAGTATCAGCTTCAATAAATGGTGCCCCAATACTTCAAACACCATGCACACATGGGTTCCATTAACACCAGTAATTTTAAAATCATTTAATAGTTGAACGGTTTTATTTCGCTTAGGATCCGAAGGATCACTGTCACGAACAGCTTTGAGAATTTTTATTTCATCTAGGGCTGTCTCTGTGAAGTGAGGCGCGGACTTAACCACTTTCAAAGCGACAAAACGTTTATCTACGAGATCCCAACATAACCATACAGTTGAGAAATGACCCCATCCCAACTTTCTAGTGACGTGGTAGCGGTTCAGGAACAAGTCTCCAATTTTAACAGGATGGTATCCACCCTTACAATAATCAGCACTGTCTTCTTGCTCCTCGTCGTCACTGGCGTATTGCTCGTCCTCATCTTCTTCAATCGTCTCATTGGAAGAGCTATGTGTCGGTTCTAAACGGTTCTGATTCTGGTTACGCAGCCCGTTTCCTTGTCCACCACCGCCGTGGTCCTCCTCACGATTTTTCTTCTTACCTAATTTATGACGTTTCTTTTTCGCCTGAATGGCGAGTACTCTTCTATTTACATCTGATTTAGAACTCATTTAGCAAATTAAAACTCTTTCAACAAATTGTAATAAATATAAATTTATTTTTTCATATCAATCTTTTTGTTTGAGTATGGCGGCCGGTCACAGAACAAAATGCGTTCGAACATGAATAAAAAATGTTGCCATGAAAAAAATACAGAAACCATAAATAACATTAAAACAGTTGATGTTATTTAAATTATGGAAACACGCCTTAAATAAATCTCAAACAATGATTAATTAATCATGTCATTATATTTTAACAATTTATTTATTTTTTATTTATTTAACTTTAATGCACACAATATAATATATAGTATAGTACATTTGGCGGACTTAACACCATGCGGCATTTTCTACCAGTCAACCATAGGTGGTGCAGAGAATAATTGTTGAACAATATAAAAGAAAATAGCCTCACTCCTTATATAACAAATGTTATTGGACAAAACTTTTTATATGTTACGTGTGTTTGAATGCGTGATTGTAAATGATTCTTGACTAAATATTATAAAGTTGAAGAGTTTTTTCTTTAGTGGTTTAGTACCAAAAAAACAAAAATACATAGCATAAAGCCAGCTAGGCTATGTATTGACATAGCCTAGCTGGCTTTATGCTATGTTTATTACTTGGAAAGTATAAATAAATAAAACAAATGAAAAATTTGTCTTTACACGTTTTTAATAGAAATGCAGCATATGAAACAAAAATCGAATGTGATTAAACTCTACATAAATAGTATTAGGTACTTGTTGATTTGGAAAATAAAAAGAGTGCAGGTATTTATTTGGTGTTTATTTAAAACTCGAGCAATTCTAATTAATAATGCCTGTCATTATATCATAATTAAATTAAATAAACTTTCTAGGCATTGGCTTCAAGAGGTGTTTATATGAACAGTTATAATTTATTTTTCCGCTTTGGCATACACTAACCTGTACTGAAATACAAATAAAGTACCTACATACGACTGCGTATATTTGGATAAAATATTTATTAAGTATTCCTAGCAGTAGGCTTTTTAAATTCATTTTCTCTTTTGTTTTCTCTATCTGATAACTTTCTAAGGGGTATTATTAAAAAACCACTAATAGTCATAAAAATACCAGCTACATAAAATGCTACAGAATATCCAAAATTGTTTTTAACAATGCCTGCTATTGGTGTACTGACTAAACTTCCACAACCTTGAAACATCAATAACATACCGGTACCATTTGTTAAATTTTCTAAACCATATAGAGCTACTATAACCATGCTCCTCAAAAATGCTAAACTCGCAATAAAAAATCCAAATATTAAACAATAACCATATTGATAATAAACACTATATGATATATCTGATAAAATTGTGCTCACTCCGGAAATACAACACGCAACCATATATAACTTCACGGGGTCAACTTTACAAGCTAAAGCACCCATAGCAAGTCTACCTAAAGAGTTTGCTAACCCAATTGCACTTACAAATAATTTTGTATGTGTTGGATCCAGTCCTGCAATTGTATTTCTATCTTGTATGAAAACGTATGGTACCAATAATCCCATATACGTAAGGCAACCACTACTACATAAAAATAAAAAAGAACATTTTTTTAATAACTTGGGGTCTAACATTGTTGCCAACACTCTTCGGGCAGCGATAGTGAATACACCCCGACGTTCTCGTAAATCTAGAGCAGTTGCTGCTCGTGATACAGCTAATTGATATTCCAAACCCGTTTTACCGTCGACGGTAGTTTCCATCATACTTTTCTGATAAACTGGAAGATTTTCTATTTTGCCTTCGTAGAAAACATCATCACGATATAATGGACGAATCTGTGGTGTGTGTTCTTCCCAATGACACAGTCTTGCCCAGCAACTTCGTTTTTTGGGTTGTTCTATATTTACTGTAACCTCTACATTCTTTTTAGTATTATCTTGAGTATTAGTTCTCGACATAATTGACTGCACTTGCTTTAGCTGTCTTTTACTAATGCCTCCTTGTGGACTATGTGCTGTTAAAGTTAATTTAGACACGGCTGCAGTCGATGGGCCTGGTTGATTAGAAGATGTTAGTATACCTTCTTGAACTACTGATGCAGCAGTAGGAAAGTTAATATTAGAAACAGCACTAAACAAACGTTCAGCAGCAGTTGGTACAAGACCATCAACTTTAGAACGTGATAAGGTTTTAACACCTGCTGTGGATAGATTTGGTAAATAGGTAACAGTGCGCGCCGGATCGTCTGCAGTCTTCACAACTGTTAAAGAAAGTAATGGTCGAAAAGCCATACCCAAAAAGTATATCAATCCAAATAAACCGGAATGAAATAAAGTTACTATACGCCAACCAGTTAATTTAACTAAGTAACTATTTACTGGAAACATAAGCATAATCCCCACACTTGATCCACTACTTGCCAGTGATAAGGCTAATGACCTAAGTTTTTCAAAGTAAAATCCAACTATTAATGATGAGGACACATTAATAAGAGAAAATCCAAATCCAGCGAATCCTCCGTAAAATACACATAGAGAAGCATAATTTGTGGCAAAGTACGAGCAGAATAAAGAACTTGATGCTATAATAGAGCCAGACATTACACATAATCTGAATCCAAAACGATTAATAAAAGCTGACGCCATTGGACTTGCAAGAAAATATAGAGCAATTGACAGTGAATTTATTAGTGCTATAAGAGACTCGGATTCACCAAGATCTTCTTTCATGTCCTTAAACATACTTCCGAAAGTAAAAGCAACTCCGTCCAATATAAAAATGCTCCAGAAGGAGGCTAGTACCACCACCCAACCCCATCCACCCTCTTCCGGCAATGCGATTTGCGCTGCAATCTCTGTTTCTGCACCACCTTCTAATTGATCTGGTCTACTGACAATTCTGCTCGGTATTATTAAAATACTTTTCTTTGGTTCATTTACTTCTTTAATTGCAGTTACCTTTGGTGGCATATTAATTATTTATTTATATTAATTATACAGTGAATTATGAAGTATACGTGATATTTCTTGTATACGTATAGTGTTATAAATTCAATTTAGAAGTGCCAGATTATGTCACAGACATTTGATGTTACACATGTCATAATTCTTTATATTGGGTTTTTACTTCTCATTTAAACAATGTCGTAAATAGATACAACGCATAATCTACTTCTGTGGAACAAAATGGAATTCGACTTAATTATAGAAAAGAAATGTAAAAATGTATATTCTATTCAGAATATATCATAGAATTTAATGGCAATATTAATTGAATAACTTCCTTTAGATAATGTTTGCATTTTCATATAAATGGTCAGAGGATCAAGTAATGCTTATACCATAAACTCAGTTTTTTCAAACTAAAGCAGATTTTACAAAATCGTGCTCTCATAGCTATTTTACAGTTGAGGTATAAACAAAGTTGTATAATTACGATGTACATAGGACACACGATAAGAGTTTGGAGCCATACATTACATTACAATAGTTTCATTCTATAATAGTTACTTGCTATGAAGTAACTTTATGGTTTTTAAGCACCCAAATTATAATAATCTGTATTCTACCTGTTAAAGTGACAGCCATTGTAATCATGACGTTTTATCTGACAGTGACAACTTAATTATAATGTCAAGTCAGTGTTTAAACATAAGAAAACAGTTGAAAATAACCAAAAATACAAATTTAGTTTTATTCATTATACTTGGCTTCACCTTGTAATTAATATAACTACTTAATAAAATTAATTTCTAAACATGTCTCAAACTACTATCACTTCATTTTTTAACAGTAGAAAGCGACCAGCCATTGATGATATTGTCTCTACGAAAAGTAAAATTCCCCACTTAGAATTAGATACGGACAGCAGCACGAAACTTATTAAAAGAAAAATTATCGTAAACAAGAGTGATAATTGTGATGTGAGACAAGCATTTGGTGAAACCAAGAAAGTTGGTAAAAAGCATCTTATATCGCTACAACAGCCTATTCAAGAACAAACACATGAACTTAAAAAAGCCTCAAACCCAACACCATTTACAAAAAAAAATAATGCATCTAACATTTCGAAAACTACAGAAGCTTCGAAAATACAAACAGTGCATGTGGCACGGAAAGAGTTAAGTTTAGGAGACATAAGGAAGAAATTAGCGGGAAGTTCTAGGTTAGCTGAATTGAAAGCATCAGCAGAGCGTATTAGCAAAGGTATTCAGCAACTTAAAGAGACGAGTGAACAATGCAACCTTAAAGAATTCAAGAGCATTGATGTGGAAATCCCATCAAGGTAGGTTATATCTATTTTATAATTTTCTTGTTCTTAGTTAATTACAACTATGATAGTCCACTTGTATGGGGTTTATAATTTTAATATTAATTTTTTATATCTATATTACCTAAAATTGTAACTACAACTGAACAAACTCCATAGCTCCTATACAATCAATAGGTTAATCATATTGATTGTATAGGCTCTCACATTTGATACTGTTTATGTTATGACACAAAAATCTAATGATTTTTTATTTAGTAGTAAGTATTAACTTAACAAACAACTTTTAAGTTATATATTTAAAAAAGTAATAAATATTATTTTATTTTAGTCCAAGCAAAAGGTCAATGCAGTTGTTATCTCCAAATAAAGAACAACCACCTGCTGATTCTCAAGAACGACTACTCATCTCACCGCGGAAGGTGTTTGTGAGCCCCATTAAAAGTCCTAGCAAAGTAAGTTTTATATGATAAAAAGTACTACTGCTAGTCTCTGCATATTTAGTTTGTTTGATTATATCATGCCTGAATTTCAATGCTTAAAAATTGTGTTTCTTTATAGAGATATGTACACTTATGATAAATATAACAATTTCTTTATTGTATGCTATGATGCAAGTAGCAGAAATGTTAATAAGAAAGCCAGCTCTTGATGAAACTCAGATATTAGCTTTAAGAGATCAATTTAATAAAAGTGTACCGCTCCAGTTAGATATATCACAATTACATCAACTTCTATTATATATATAATAATGCCAATTATGGTTCATTAATTGAAGGTCTTGGTGCATTTGCTAATCCATATATAGACATTTACAATTCTGGTCGGTTTCCGTATCAAGGTGTGAAATACTCTCGCAGTCAAGAAGAAGAGAAATGCATCATTCCTATAGCAGACTCTTCAAATAATCACTATTTAAGACATATAATTTTATAGCCCTAACCCTAATAAATCATTATGACCCTGATAAAGATTACTTTATGAGCTCTCCATATACCTTAAAACATAAAAATATTGACTTTAATCTGTAGTAAATAATTAAGTGTAAATAATGTTTAAAATGTATACATATTTTTAGCAATAAGATTGTTTTTATTAATTTGAAATGTGGCCTTTTTCTCAGGTACCTGCCTATATAAGACATGCATCTTTAGCTACATCTTCAACTAGCTTACCTCTTCCTCACCATTATAAATTCTTAGCCGAACTATTCCGGGGCATAGAGACAGTCGTTGCTCTACTTTACAACAGAAATGAGAAAATTACTTTCAATAAACTAAAACCCTCCATTCAAGAGATGCTGAAACGTAATTTCACAGAAAAACATCTAGCTCAAGTGAAACATTTGGTACCTGATTTTTACAGTTTTGAAATTCAAAAAATTAAAAGCTTTTCAATATCATCTCACAAAGAAGCATATGAACTGATCATATCACCAAACTTTCCTAATGATATTAAATTGATGAATCCAAGTGTTCTTCTTGAAAGACGGAGATATTTCTATGAGACATTGCTCCAGCTGGTGAAAAAGCATCATGCTCATTACTTATCATCATTGGACCCACCAATGATCATTCCTGACAATAAATTAGTACGCTGGCATCCAGAATTTGATTTGGAAAAGTTACCAGAAGTTGATTGTGCCAAATTGCCAGAAATACCAAACACAGAGAAGTTCTCATCCGCACAAGATGTATTGGCCAAGGCTCGTGATTTGTTTAAATGCAACACTAAAATGGAGAGAGCATTAGAAAAGTTGGCTCAAGCAAAGGCCAGAGGCTTAACTAATGAAGAGAAGGCAGCTACTGGTATTAATGATAATGAAATGAAAACTGTTTCCACAAATACTCCATCCACCAGTGCTGTGACTATTTTGAATCCTGCATTACGTAATTTGCCAGCTTCTTTATTAGAAAAAGTCAAAGCTAAACAAGCTGCTAAAGCTCTTGAAGCTATGACAAGATCTTCAGAAAATGATCAAAAGTACTTAATTTATAGCCGTCTGCCAGATCTTGCAAGGACATTAAGAAACATATTTGTCACTGAGAGAAAGAATGTGTTGGCACTCAATATTATACTTTCAAAGTTGGACAGCAGTTTTAAAGCACATGTGTCTGCTAGTGAGCTGCAGAAGGATATTAAAGTACTCACTGAAGAGATACCTGAATGGATAAAACTACATGATGTAAGAAATGTTACATATCTAAAATTAGACAAAAATGCTAACTTAAAGGACATTATCTCTAAATTAGAAGCATTAGCTGAGAAGTATAAGAATGATTAAGTTATTATAAGTAGTAAGTAATTTGACATGTAATACAAATTAAGACTGAATAAGTAAATTTGTTATTGCACCATATAGATATACTATACGAAAATTGATCTTTTAGAACTTTGTAGAATATATTTTTAGTATTAAGTGTGTTTTGCTACAACTTTATTTAGGACTCAGTATGCATTGGACATGTTTAGATATAGTTTTGACATTATAATGCACTCTTGACATTAGAATTCAAGATACTAGACTATTCTAAATTATTACTATAATTTTCTGGTTTAAATCCGTTTGAATATAGTCTCTTAATTATGTATAGTACAGTTATATTTTTCTAAATTGTCAGCAGTAATTTCTATTAAATAAATTTAACTGAAATTATACCTCTGAATTTGATTTATTATATTATGTTGTACAGTTTTTATGTAAAACAATATTAGATAAAATATTATACAGAAATCACTACATTTTAAAAATAAATAAATCTAGTTTTCAAACTTTAGTTTAATAAATGCATCATTATTATTATATCCTAAAGGTACCACCATATTTAAACTATGTAGTATTTTTGATCAATATTAAAATAAACGAATGTGTGCGCTAATTTTATTTTACTATGATATAAATTTATCATTACAAACATAATTTTATTTTTTGTATTTTCTTTATATGTGTTTTATTTTAGTACAATTATAAGTTTAGTGCTTTTTGTTCTATTTCAAAAATATAATTGAAGTAGCAAACTTGGGTATTAGCCATTCGAACAGATTCTTTGACAATATACCAGTAAAATACTGGATTTCATTAGATATTTTGAAATTTCAACAGCAAAGTAAAGTCGTAATTTTCAATGTCTCATTCATTAATATTGAAAATAATGTATTTTTTTTAAATATCACATCATTATTATGATCTTGCTAATTTTCAGTAGATTAGGTATGATTACATTATTATATTGGACTGTTGCGTATTCTATGCACATATTTCAAAAAACTTATTTAAGTACTTCTATCAATTGTTTAGTATCCAAAACAAGCTCTACTTAGCCTATGCATAGGTGGCGCTGTGTTATATTGTAAATTGAAACTGCTAGTTACGAGGCATATGTAACTATCGACGTAGTAACCGCAACTGATGACCCCATTGATAACAAATGTCTGGTTGACCTCCGTGCGGTTCCCCTTGGAACCAATCGTGATAAATTCCATTTACCCCGATGTTCCCCACCAGCATAAACCGTTCGCACATATTCTTAAAAAAACGCATCAATTGACGGGACTTAATACCGTTGGACATTAAAATTTGAATAACGTATCTGTTGATGAAACTACCGCCATTATGTAATCTCATGTTAATTTTGCTATAATTAAATATTTTTGTACGACCAAATCTATTTGTAGGGTTAGTATTTGCATACGCAGTATTACATTTGTTTTTGAAATCAGTAGGTACCTAAGTATATCAATGTCAATGATAAAATCATTCAGCACTTATTTAAAGGTAGATTAGATTGTAAATACCTACACATTTTAGGATGACTATAAATGTAACTGTAAAATTTTAAAACAGTGTTTCCTATTCTAATTGCCCAAATATATAGTAATAATATACTCAGGACAATACACACCAACATCTAGTCCCAAGGTAAGCTGATTGTGTTATGGGTACTAGACAAGTGATATAAATACAAGGATACATTTTTTTGTAAATATATAGGTACATATTACACAATGAAAACACCCAGACCGATACAAACAATACTCAGAAATACAAATGTTTGCATCGTGCGTAGAATCATTGCTACGACCATTGGTAATAAGGCGGTGTGCTAAACCGCTAGGTCGCCGAATCTGTTTCGTCCATTTCTCTTGAGCAGTTTTCTATATAGTGTCGGCTCTAATAGACATAGTCGAAATGTGCGGCAGAGACTAGAGATAATGATTACAGTCGTAAGAGAATAAATATTTTTTTTACTATAACATTATAGTACTTATAATGGATTTATAGGAGTTTTAGTTGTTATAATAAGAACGGTAGATTCTATAAATAGTATATACAAATATCTTCAGATATATTTAATTACATAATAACATATAGGATTAGATATAGGTACCTTATCTCTAAACATACATTACATAATTCCATAAAGTAACAATCTTATTTTTATGAGTCAGCAATAATATTACCTACTTCACAGTAGCTTCCAAGGTAACAATTATTATGTATAAAAAATCTTTCAGATAGTAAGCAAGTTAGTCCTGAGTCAATAAATTGTAATTAACTGTACTTAGATCTCCAGATGTATATGCCTTCAAAAACTGTTGCAATATTTCATCAGGAACTAGGTATTGACTAACGGCAGGATCTTTCAACATATCATTTAAATACGGAACCTAGAAGAAAAAAAACAGGCTTAATAAATATTGCATTAACATGTTCGAATGACGCTACGAATAACTATTTGTAGGTTAATGAGAATTTAATAATGAAACTTTCAGTCAATCTTTTACACTGAAATGTGTACGAATATAAAAACAGTAAGGGTAACCCTGGACGTTTCACACAGCGCTATCCAGTTCCATGTAAGTATAGCTTTTATTTTGGATACTAGACTTAGAACAACTCAATAGATACATAATATACATAGACCAATACAAACAATCATACTCAAATTCAAAATATCTTATTCATGTAGGTCTATTGCAGACTCTTAAGATATGTTAAATTCAAACTTGGGAGAATATAGTGACCACTAGCAAATGCTATTGCAAAAGCAAATAGTTTAATCAGTGTTCGCAACCCAAATAGAAAAGTCTCCACAAGCATCATGAACACAAATGTTTGCATCGTTCGAGGAATTAAACCCGCGACCACCGTCCTAATAATGTTTGAAGAGCACATCGCATTCTCACCAACCTACTTACCAATAACTTATATTTATCTTCTTTTATTTTGATCCTTTCATCCAAATCCAATTGTAAAATTCTCTCAAACCAGGGCCAAATCATGTAATCAACAAAACCAGGCTGATCACCGTCCAAGAATTTAGTACCCCTCTTCTTCAGTTGCTCCTGGATGAAATCTAGCCCTTGGTGATACGCAGTGAAGTTATCTTCAGTTATTGATTCTGGACTTCTTAGTAGTTTGTAGAAAAGTGTACTAATCTGAAATAAGTCGCATATGAATAGTTTACGAACTATTAATTTGTTTTATTATACTTATTCATATTTTATTATTTATATTTATATCAATAAATAACTAAATACATAATTTATTCAATTTTATACAATAACAGCATATAGACACTAGCTGAGTATTAGAAAAACGATAGTTTCGTAAATTATCTACTACCTATACTTTCAATAGTAATTAAATAGGTAGTTCCCATTTCGGTTGAATGAATGTTAAGGTCACTTACAGGTCCCGCAGCTTCAATTATAATTTTGTCAAAAGCTTTCTTAACTGGATCTTTGGGTAACAATGGCCTTTGCGGATAAACATCATCTAAATACTCCACAGTCACCAAACTCTCGTAAATAGTTACTCCGTCTTCAATTTCTATGGCGGGCACTTTACCTGTAAATATCAAATGGTTTATTTACCATAGATACTGATTTATTTAACGTGCAATTAAAACATATAAAGTGTCTTATCATAAAAATAAAAACCTCTTCGTTAAAACATATAATTAAATATTCTCTTATCAGTAATAAAACAAACAATATGTTTGCATTTCATGTTGATAAAATAAAACAAAAATCATGGATTATTTTTATTAGATCTTTGTACAACAAATATTAATTACTATCACACTGTGTTTACATCTACACATATAGGTAATAACAACATACACATATACGTAACCAAAAAGTATCAAAGTATATCGTAACAGAAAAACTCGTTTAGAACTACTATGTTTATTGTATCAATTAAGTCAAATGTAGGTTCCTACCTAATAAAGTGAAATATAAATGTTACATGATAAATAAATAATTTAGATTGTATAATACGAATCATATATCTATGTAATAAGGTGACTCGTTTCATCAAAAAGGCCCCAGATTATACTTATAGTAGGATAATGACATCAGAATGTCCTTATGTTATATGTACCTACAGCATATCCAATGCATAAGAGGAAATTGGCGTTGTAGATATTATTCAGTATTCGTTCGATCTCTATTAAAAGGAGTCTCCCCTGACCGAACCACGATAGCAATACTTTCAATCGAAATATTACTATAAACTTCCTAAGAATCCTCCTCTACTATTACAGTAAATATAAATGTATATTTTGTTATTCTGAAAATTCATTATAATTGAAAATTTTATACTGTCTTGGATTGAGCTAAAGATAGGTCTTTTTTTGGTGACAACAGAGATTTTCAGTTACGCGTGTAATTCTAAAACAAATATGTTTAAAGAAAATCTGAATAGTATGACAATTTGATATTATCTTATAGACAAAATGTCATTGAATTTAATAATTGCAAAAAAATCATAGTGGCAGGTTTTGTAAGGACTCCAAAGATTCAATTGAATGTACTTAATAGTGCTCTAATTCTCAATGATCACTATGCTTGTTATTCCTTACCAAATGCACTCTTTGTAGTATACCACTCCGGTTTGTTGACTAAATTAATGTTGACAACTTCGTAATCAATTTGTTTGGCATTCAATGCTAGTATTGTCCGTTGCGCGTACGGACAGTATCTCATGTTGTAAACACGAAGTTTGCCATTGAATGGAGGCAGTGGATCACCTGTTGAGAGAAAATATAATTTCAATATTTTAATTATGCTAGTGTTAAAAATGTATAACAAATGTTGTTTTTTTAGATTAATACGGAATGGTGCACGTTGCTAACAGTATACGCTGGCAGCTGCCACGACATACGGTCAGGACAAATAAAACAGTTACCAATGGATATTGATGGTATATAGCCATATAGCCAGGTCGATCTCTTTCTATGGCGAGATAACCGATAAAGATACACCGTTTTCCATAGGGACCGTTTGGAGTTTGACCCGACATAGCTACTTTGCTAGCAATGGGACCTACAGTACTAACAATCCCCTTTTCTGCCAGTGTACCTAAATAGTTAGCGCAAGCGACTACACCATTCCATTAACATCATAAAAAATATCAATCCCCTTTTTTCTTCCAACCAAATAGCAGAAAGTTGCGTAATACAAAATGAGGACACTGATAACCTAAACTAGGTACTATACCTGTGCTACAGGTATCAGTGCTCTCTTGTAACATGTACCTACTATAAATTACGTTTATTAGACGTAGATATTTAAGGATAGATATATGTAGTGTATGTATCTTATTTATTACTAATTAAAATATGGATTACTAAATATACTAAATTACTAAATTATGGATATAGTATAAGACGATAAATACAATCAAATTGCGAACCTCTTATATTGAAATTGATTAAAACTTTGTAATAATAACAAGGTAATATCTTAAGTTAAGCAATAATTATATAAAATGCAATCCTTAGTTCCTTCGTACCCACATCAAAATTTGAAATTGGCGGGCAAATTTCATACATTACAATATTATTATTATTGTTTAATATTATAAACGTAGTGTTATTTGCTCAGTGGAAATGCGTATAGTAATTGGCGCATGTTGTAAAGTTACTACCACAGCTAATAAACATTTAACGATAAGTATTTTCTTAGTATATCGACGTTTAAATAGGTTAAAATTAGGTACTTACAACCTATAGGTGACAGGTACAAGCAATTTATCTACATATTACAAAAGCTGACAATAATAAGTTTCATATTAATATATCTCACCGAACTCCTATGTTATAAAAACAATAACAAGTAACTATATCAAAAAATCTCACCTTTGGTCAAATGTTTCGTATTGAAGTTGATTTTGCCCTTGACCGCTTTGGTAGCCATGGTTAGATGAGACGTGTATCCTAGTAAACGAGCCACTGGACGGAGTATTCTAGACGACGTCATAAATACATGAATTGCTAAGCTGAATGTTGATGTTATCATTTTCAATATGGTGGGGGAACTGATGTATAAACGAAAAATATACGAATCACTGAGATAGCAGCATAGTAAATACTGATATATTCGGCTAAAATGCGCTGTCATTCAACGTCTGTACAAATTTCATGAGTCGATAATATTTTGGTAGTTAAGTATTCCATTATTGTTAATATATTTAGACGACTTTAATGTACATACATAAATATGTAGACTTGATTTGTGATTTCAAATTATTGCCGGGTTCAATATAAATTAAATTTATTACCAAGTATGACAGAAAATCCTTTTGGGCGCTGCTATAATTTACGCATCGATCTAAAATGTAGCGCTAGTGCTAACTTTGTTTAATAATAGTGGGTACATACTTCCATCTATTTACTTAATTAGGTACCATAACAGACTGCACTGCACATAATGCGAACAGAACTCCGTCATTTAACGGCCATATTTAGTGAAAGTACAAAGGTTCATATGATGGAAACAGACTTTGTACAATGTGCGACGATAGGTAGATACTTTCGATCGCCTCCTATATCCAGGTAGGACACCGCTAGAGGTACTTGCTTGTAAGCCGCGATTTAATTTGGCACTCATTAAAAGTGCCACCTTAATTTATTCCTTCTTCTCGCGCATGCAGCGAACTTCACTTGACTCAGTGGAGGCACACTACAATAATCTAGTTTATTTATTTTGAGTCTTAGGTTAATGGCGTAAAGATTAGAGTCGTATAGCGAAAGAATTGAAGTATGGAATGTGGTGCCCTCTGCAATCAGATATAAATACTAAAATAAACATGCCACAAAAAGAAAATATATTCGAAAATGTCTCTTTGACTGATAATTCTCTCAGTTCTTGTAATTCTCTTGGTTCATTCACCTTCAGTCGGTTGTATCCATATTGAAGTCGTTGTAGTTTTTTGTGTTTGTTGTTTATATTACGTTGTTGTTGTTACATTTTTGTTGTAATTTAGTTAAATTACGTCGTGTTTGCCCTATTTCATGAATTATGATGTTTCACTGTGTAATAATGACCATAAATGTGACTACAGCTGCTGAAGAAGTTTATTAGATAAAGTCCTATCTGGAAAAATAACTTATGACGGCATATATAAATAATATAGCATAATATACAATAATAAGTAAAAAAATTGCAATTATGTAAATAAAATTACATATACTTAACATGAATGAGAAGGTCTGAAGATGCAGTGGACTGCAGTGGGCTGATGATGATGAGGAGGATGATGATACTTAACATTTTTTTTTATTTACAAAAATACAATTACAGGAGACAACAACAGACTATATACATATTAAATTTATCAATAATACACTCTGAGCAACAAAAATATTATCAATGCAATAACACCCACATTAATAGATAGCAAAAGAAATGGAAATGGTTATCTAATGGTCACAGTGAGGTTAGATAACTAGATGTAGATTGTATATTTTTTTAATTTGTTAAATCCACTCAGTATTTTACCTATGAAAATGTAATAAACAGACAAACAAACTTTTTTTTATCTATGATAATACACGCATATACATAGTCATGAATACAAAGGTTGGTTCACACGATGTGAAGAATCGAACCCACGATCATCGGAAATAAGCTAAACCAAACCAAACCTGATGCTAAACCGCTAGGCCACTGGCCACATTTCATTCGACTAGTTTTCTTAAATGTATCTAATTTATCAGTTCCAAGAGAAATAGCCGAACTGTACGGTAGAGACTAAAGATAATGATAAAAAATGTTGACATACGTAAGAGAATAAATATTTTTTTAACATTGTAGTATTTATAATGGATTTAGTTTCAATTGTTATGAAAAGGACGGTAGGTTCTATAAACTGTACATATACATCTTTGAATATCTTTTATTACACAATAACATATAGTAAGTAGACTAGGATTAGTTATACCTTATCTCTAAACATTATAAGAGATTTTTATAAAGCCTTTATAGCACTGTTATAGTGGGCTTATAAAGGCTTCTTAAGTTTTATGAATAACACTGTATGAAGTTACATAATTGAATAAAGTACCAAGCTTTTTTCACGGGTCTGCAATGATATTACTTCACAGTAGATTGTAAGGTCACAATTCATATGTATAAAAATCTTTCAAATAGCAAGTTAGTCATCACTCCTCAGTCAACAAGTTGTAATGAAGTGTACTAGATGCATATCCCTCAAAAAACTTTCGCAATATATCGCCAGGAATGAGGTATTGACTGACGGCGGGATCTTTCAACATATTATTTAAATACGGAACCTAGAAAAAAATAACAGGCTTAATACACATTGTATGAATATATTTGAATGATATGAATAATAATTATTAGTAGGTTAATGAGAATTTAATAATTAAATATTCAAACTTTCCGCCAATCTTTTACATACGAGTAACACTATGAAATGTGAAACAATAATGATAATCATGGACACTTCACACAGCGCCATCATGTCCCAATATAAGGTTCTGGCAGTTTAGTATCTAAAACATAGAGCTTGTGTTCTGAATACTAGGCAACTGCCAGAAAAACTTAAATAGGTACATACATAATATACATAGAAAACAGCCAGACCGATACAGACAATCATGCTCATGAATACAAATGTTTGCATCGTGCGTGGAATTAAACCAGCGCCCATCGGAAGAAATGCTGTGTACTAAACTACAAAACCAGCGATGTCTTGATAATGTTCGAAGAGTACATCACATGGACACAAACATACTGGGGGAAGGAGATTGTAAATAATATGGACTTCTAATCATAATATCAATGTACTATGTCAGGTTAACCTCCACGTGATTACCCCTGGAAACCATTTTGATAAATTTATAGTGAATTTATCACGATGGGCTTACTGACCTGATCTCATACTCATATATCGTCCTCTACTGGTGCCCCGCCAGCGTAAACCGTTAACGCAGGAGGGTGCACCATTCTATAATTATCCATAACCTTAAGACACAAACCTACTTACCAATAACTTATACCTTTCTTCTTTTATTTGGATACTTTCAGCCAAACCCAACTGTAGAATTCTCTCAAACCAGGGTCACAACATGTAATCAACATAACCAGGCTGATCCCCGTCCAAGAATTTAGTACCCCTCTTCTTCAGTTGCTCCTGGATAAATTCTAGCCATTGGTGTAACGCGTTGAAGGTATCTTCACTTATTGATCCTGAACTTTTTAGTAATTTGGAGAAGAGTGTACTAATCTGAAATAAGTAGCATATGACTATTTGAAGTAATAGGCGAATTGTTTTTTATTATATTAATATTTTACTATTTATTTTGATGTAAATAAATTGTTTACTTTATTTATATAATACCATATCATACAGACACTTGCTGAGTGTTAATTTTGTAGTTTCAGTAGTCAGTTGTATTGTAGTTTCAAACGTTCTTCTGAAGCGTTAATTGCAACAACCCTTTTGATTGATGAGGACATTTGTCGTAGGTATAATTCTCATTTTGTTTAAATGAATGTGAAAGTCACTTACAAGTGCCGCAGATTCGATTATAATTTTGTCAAAAGCTTTCTTAACTGGATCTTTGGGTAACAATGGCCTTTGCGGATAAACATCATCTAAATACTCCACAGTCACCAAACTCTCGTAAATAGTTACTCCGTCTTCAATTTCTATGGCGGGCACTTTACCTGTAAATATCAAATGGTTTATTTACCATAGATACTGATTTATTTAACGTGCAATTAAAATATGTAATGTAAGACACATTACATATTTTAATTGCACGTTAAATCATAAAAATAAAAAGCTCTTCGTTAAAACATATAACCAAATAATATTCTCTCTTTATCTGTAATAAAACAAACAATATGTTATGCATTTTCATTTTGATAAGGTAAAACGAAAGTCATTAAATTTTATACAGTAAATATTAATTAGTATTGCACTGTAGGAGTTACCTACATATATATTTAAAAACAACATATCTATCAAAGTATATCGTAACAAAAAAACTCGTTCAGGACTACTTATGTTTATTAGTTACGAAAGTTTTATATGATAAAGAAGTACTTAGTTTAGATTGTGTAATAGCACAGATAACATAATATTACATAGTAATACGAATCATATATACAGGTAAGGCGACTCTCGCCTCATTGAAATCTGGCACCGAACTATATTTATAGTAGGAATGATATCAAAGTGTACTTAGTTCAATTCAATGCTAAGCATATTTAATGCTTGAGAAGAAATTGTCCAAGCAATAAAATTACGATGTAGGTATTCGTTTTATCTATATTCAGAGACCTCAAGTCTACCCTCACCCATGCGTGATAGATATAATACTTTCAATAGAAATTTTGCCATAAATATTTACATTTCGCCCTATACCTACTATTGTTACAGTAAACATAAAGGTATATTTTTTATTCTAAAAAATCTTTATAATTCCATTCACTTGCATATTTTTTAATATCTATACTGTCATGGATGTTTATATAAATGAACTAAATAGGTAGGTATATTATTGTTAAAAATAAAGTATTTCCGTTACGTGTTAATTTTAAAACAAACATATTTGAAGAAAATTTGACTAGTATGATATGTTGGTATTATATTTTGAAAAAACTTTTCATCTAATTTAATTAGTTATTGTACAACATTTGGCACGTTCTGTAAGGAGAGGGGGTCGGCCGTTGGATATATGAAAAAACAATCCAAGTTCTTGTTATAGGTTACCTATCACAAAGTTGCTACGACGTACTTTGTTAAGAATAAAAGGTATCTTATATAGCTTTTTATTTAAAGATATTATTTTAAGCAGTTTGACTTTTGTATTTTTAAGGTTCATTTTTAACCCAGTCCAGTTAGTTGCTTTTTGACGCTATAAAAATATAGGTGTAGCTCCATAAAAGTCGCATTAGCAATAGATAGGGGATATTAGTTAGCAATATATAGGATCGCTCTAATTGTCAATGATATTACTATGCTTGTTATTCCTTACCAAATGCACTCTTCGTAGTATACCACTCCGGTTTGTTGATTAAATCAATGTTGACAACTTCGTAATCAATTTGTTTGGCATTTAATGCTAATATTGTCCGTTGCGCGTACGGACA